CTGACATAATAATTTGAAGGATGAGGATTATTCTTATAGTAACAATCAATAATCTCATGTCATCTTCTGACATAATAATGTGAAGGATGAGGAGCATTCTTATAGTAACAATTAATAATCTTATGTCATCTTCTGACATAATAATGTGAAGGATGAGGAGCATTCTTATAGTAACAATCAATAATCTCATGTTTTCTGACATAATAATGTGAAGGCTGAGGAGCATTCTTATGGTAACAATCAATAATCTCATGTCATCTTCTGACATAATAATGTGAAGGATGAGGATTATTCTTATAGAAACAATCAATAATTTCATGTTTTCTTCTGACATAATAATATCAAGGATGTGGAGCTTTCTTATAGTAACGATCAATAATCTCATGTCATCTTCTGACATAATAATGTGAAGGATGAGGAGCATTCGTAAAATAACAATTAATAATCTCATGTCATCTTCTGACATGATAATGTGAAGGATGAGGATCATTCTTAAAGTAACAATTAATAATCTCATGTCATCTTCTGACATGATAATGTGAAGGACGAGGAGCATTCTTATAGTAACAATTAATAATCTCGTGTCATCTTCTGACATAATAATGTGAAGGATGAGGAGCATTCGTATAGTAACAATTAATAATCTCATGTTTTCTTCTGACATAATAAAGTAAAGGATGAGGAGCATTCGTATAGTAACAATTAATAATCTCATGTCAGTTCTATCTTCTTTCAAATTACTTTAACACATTGATGTCAAAGTTTTCTACACATGCATTTTGCCAAATTGGAAGAATATAGCAAAGGAGCAATTAAAAACTATCAGTAAAAAAACCAGACAGCACCATGACAAACCGACAAACACCATGGCAAACCGATGAACAGACAATCCATATACAACAAAACATCACACATAAAACTACAGATTGAAATAGAAAATGCCCCCCCCCCCCCCCTCAAACAGGGTTAAACTATAACTATAGAAGGTATTTGCACACCGTACAAAACGTTTGAGTCAGTCTGACATTTTTAAATTAACATGACTAGTGTTATTTTCAATAGAAAATAATGACATGCGTTGGTGCAAACACTTGCTTTCGGAAGAGACAGTTCACACTTATTAATAATACCACACAAACTTGAATTTCTCTCAAACTGACACCATCAAGATAAATGAAGCCTGAAAACTCTGGGAGAAAAATACCATTCTCAATTTTAACATATGCAGGTGATGCCTGAATAAAGTTTTGGATAATTTCAGGCGACAGCAACCTTGCAACACAGTTAATCGAGAAAGTTAATAAATAGAAACGTGTAGCCATGTAATATAAAAAAAAATAAGGAGATGTGGTGTGTTTGCAAGTAAAAACTATTCGCCAGAGAGCAAAGGACGAGAACATGGATGTTACCGACTACGGATACCGTACAGCCTTTAATTATGAGCAAAACCCGTACTGTATAAAACTTATCAAAGGACGAAGAATATAAGATTTACAGACTCTTGTCGTGGGACAGGAATATACATAATGTGGCGTGTTTAAACATGTTTTGCGCTAATCCCCCACTTAACATGCGAGAGTGAAACAGCACAAAATAGGAACAAATCATAAACAAAAATCAAATAACTGTGTAGCTTAAGGTATTTAAAAGACGTCGTAAAAATACGATCAGCATTTATGTCAAGTACAAATTGAAACATTTTTACAAAGTTAATGAAGCGCACTATAAGCTATGTGAAATTTGAACAATTGATAATTGTTTATTTTATTTATTGTCTTCTGAATAATTCTAAATGAAGTCATGGATATTTCCAGTGTCAAGATTTACATATTTTATATTACAGATATTCACTCATATTGATTTTGATTTATACTGTTTAATGGATACATGTCAGTTTGCTACAATAATATGTTTAAAACAATGGTCTCTCATAGAATATTGACAATACTATCAATAAATAATAATAATTATAGTCGACGGATGAAGGTTTCATTCATAATCAGTCTTTTCACATGATGAATTCTGCATTTTAACTCTCTCATAATTGTAGATACTAGTAACTTATATCTATGGACTATAAAACAAACTTGTTATTGACCTTGAACTAGCTGTCAGTAACTGCGAGTACTCTCAGATCTGTAATTTGTGTCCTTTTTGTTGTGGGGATGTATAAATACCCTGCCACGTCCGGTCTGTTTTTTTGTTAGATGTTTTTTTCTGCTTTGTATTGATCTGATGAGTTAAGCCCTTTTTAGTCATCAATAACTTTGTCAAACCTTCATGGAATCTTATGAAAATTTGCAGAAGCTTGTTTATGACAAAAAATGCAGTATCCAGAGCAAAATTGTGATAATATTTATTTTAATTTTTCCGTATTTAACTGATAAATGGACTTAGTTTTTTACAGTTAACATTATGATTGAGTCTGAGGTTAAAGTTTTTTCAGTCATCAATAACTCTGTCAAACCTTCATTGAATTTTAGGAAATTTAGACAGAAGCTTAGTTATGACCAAAATACAGTATCATGAGCAAACTTTTGAAAATATTAACTGATAAATTGACTTAGTTTTTTACAGTTAACAAGTAGATATAGTCTGGGGTTAAAGTTTGTTACACATCAATTTCTTTGTCAAACTTCATAGAATTTTATGGAACTTTGGCAAAATCTTTTTTATGATTAATGATAAATTTGTAAAGCTTCATGGATTGTTATGAAACTTGAACAGAAACTAATCCAAGAAATAGCATCTAAAGAAAAAGTTTGATTCTTTTTTAAAATTCTGGATTTTACTGATAAATGGACTCACTTTTTAAGTCAACATTACACTTTTATACTGACCGCAGCAATTGTAGCGAGACACAGGGTTCCGTGGAACCTCTTACGATTTTTTTCATATCAGAAGCCTAGGATATAAATTTCAAGTCCGAACTGACTTGTTTAAATTAACATTGCCGAGTTTTAAGTTTTATGACAGTGCTTTTGTTTTTTGTTTTGGACTTAAAAGAATGATGTTTTAAAAGTTGTGCGTTCTATCAACTATATCCTTCTCGAAATCATACTTCTACCTCCCCGTGATGAGCATGGGTAACAGATTATATCTGTCGAACGGAGGAGGTACTCCTTCATCATTCTTAATTTTTTTTCGCTCAAATGTCCCATGCTTATTTTTTATTTTCGCACAAATAACCTAAAATATCTATACGCTCAAATGTCCTGTACTTTGGCGCTCAAACGTCCTTTTTTATCGCTCAAATGTTCATTGCCGGTTGGATGTGTACTGATTGATATTTTAGTCTTAGATACATGATTTTTTCATGAGTTGTTATTGGCTTTGAACTAGCTGTCAGTAACTGCGAGTTCTCTTAGATTTGTACTTTGTGTATTTTTTGTTGCGAGGGATGAATAAGTACCCTGCCACTACCGGTCTGTAGTTTTGTTAGATGTTTTTCTGCTTTGTATCGATCTGATGAGTTAAGCCCTTTTCAAATGATTTTTATAGTTTGTTCTTGTGTTATGCCGTTACACCACTGTACCAGGTTAATGGTATGGTTTGCGCCTTCAGACATGTTTAACCCCGCCACATTCTTTATGTGCCTGTCCCAAGTCAGGAGCCTGTAGTTCAGTGGTTGTCGTTATTTCATGTCTGTCATAATTTCTTTTTCGTTAATTGTTTTGCTATAAATTAGGTCGTTAATTTCTCGATTAAATTGTTTCATATTTTTCATGTCGGGGCCTTTTATAACCGACTATACGGTATGGGCTCCTTGTTGAAGACCGTACGGTTGCATATAATTGCTTACATCCACTTCACTTTGGTGGATGTTTGTGTCATTGGCAATTATACCACATCTCATTACTTTATATCATATGATGTTTTTGTATATATTATATATTGTATAGACACATCATAATCAAAAAAACGGCCAGCTTTTTTACCCCTTTTCACTTGTCTCAAAATAGACTCATAAAGTATTGTATAGTCAAAATACTGCATGTACACATTAACATTGTACCATAATAGAATTTATAATTTGGGAAGGACTGCATATGTATGATATACGTCTGTCCTGTCCAATTTACATCGAGTAATTAAAATGTTTGCAGGTAAAATATGATGTCAACCTTCATTTGTTTTCAAACCTATAAACCAACTTATTTTTGCGGATAATCTATTTCCCCATAATGATACAATTAGGAACTAGAACGTAATGTACATTTTCCCGTTTGAATCGTTTCACATGTGTCATGTCGGGCCTTTTATAGCTTGTCATGTGGAATTAATTTTGCTCATTATTAAACCCGTACGTTGACCTATAGTTGATCACTTCTACGTCATTTGGTCTATGGTGGAGAGTTGTCTCATTATCATACCACATCCTCTTACCTTTATAATGTTGCACGTATTTGCTATTTCAACAAAATGTTGACATTTAAGATGCATCAACCAATTTGGAGCTACTTTGATTTTCTTTTTATGTCAAAGATACCGTCAGAGGCAGAGTACATGTTGGAATTCATATTCATACTGTTTGCTTATTGTTACCAAAAAATAAATTTTGAAAAATTATTTCATACAAAATTTATCCGTTATACACGGAAAGAAGTAAAGTACGCTTTTTCGATATATTTACTACTAATTACTGAGAAATTTGATGGAATTATTGTTTTTTATTTAATAAATTCAGGTAATTACTATTTCTACAGACTGTTTTTTTTAAAAATCTTATATATTTGACCAGGTCTTGTGTCATGAAAGTTTACTCTATCATCTCAATTACGCGATATCATTGAAAAGGATATATTTTTGAAGATCTAACATTGTTGGGCTAAATTTGAGACGAATTATATATATATTTATAACAACTAAAAAACATTAAAATGAAAAAAATAACTATAGAGGAAAATCATTTATAAAAAACATCCTTTAAAATCAGAACAAGAACAATAGAGTAGACTTTCTGTATATATCTTAAATGTGAAATAAGTTAATGTGCTAACCTGATACGGATCTTCCATCTTCCTATATGATGCTGGACAAAAATTATGAAACTAAATGGCTTTGTTTTATTTTTTGTTGTGATATTTGGAAACAATTATTGTATAAATGATTTAAGATAAATTCCTATAAGATAATGTATATTCTCTTTGTTATAATAATTGATTTCCTCCAAACATTGTTACAGCTATACAAACTATTCCAACAATGATTGTTTTCATTGATACAGTTATCAAAGAATTCAATGGAAACATCTATAAATAATTAACTTAAAAGTAGGTTAGGGACAGAAATTCAGCCTGGCAAGCGGCTACACGTACCTACGAATCACTTAAAGAATTGTTGCAAGGGTTCTTAACTACAGATAGCGTGCCACTCTCTTTACACGAGGCAACGGAATTAACTCCCAATCTGACCGGACGTGATCAGGACCAATGAAATAGTATAGAAAGGAAACAATCAATTTGGAAGGACATAAAAGTTTCAAAATGCAGTAAACCTGCTGCTAGTCCCAAACACTCTCTATTACAGACCTACTTATTGTATTTATTGTTAATTTGCTCTCATCCTAGACATAGGAGATAACGAAATCTACTTCTATTTCAAAGGAGCATAACTCCCGTAAAAAAAGTTGTTCGACACTCTTCCAAGATTTTGCTGATATAAGCATATGATATAAACTTCTAAAAAACGACAAGATATGTAGGTTTGAAAGTGCTTACTATGCAATGATAAATTTAAATTACATTTCAAGGAGACATTACTCCTGTAGAAGTAACAGATCAGCGCTGATTTTCGAACTCACCCAAAATATTGCTGATATATACTCCTATGATATAAATTTCATTACAATCCTACAAGAAATGAAGATGTAAGAGTGATAACAATGCCATTTTCTATATAATTGATAATTGATAATTAAAAATAGTTGATTAGCACTGACTTTCAAACTTTTCCGAAACATTGATATAAATCAAAGTAGCTTTTGATATAAATTTAAAACATTTCTGGAAAGAATTGTATGCGATGCAATTTTCTATAAAATTTAAATTTTTAAGGAACATTACTCCAGTGAAAATAGTTAATCGGCACTGATTTTCGAACTTGTGTCCGAGACATTGCTGATGTAAACCTTGGATGTAAATTTCATATAAAATCTGGCAGTGCAAATATGTACCTGTACATATGAGCGCAATTAGAAGGCTGGATGGACAGACAGACGCACGGAGGGAACGGACAAATTCAGACTATCTCGACCCATATGAACCCTCGGCTTGCGCCTTGAACTAATATGGGGGTCTCGGGATGATACCAGGTCCGATATGGAAAATTATATGATAACATCTATAATTATTGAGTATTGATATTAAGATACAGCAAAGTATCACTAGTAATTGAGTATTACCATTAACGTACAGCGGAGTACCACTAGTTACTGAGTATTACCATTAACATACAGCGCAGTACCTCTAGTTATTGAGTATTACCATAAACATACAGCAAAGTATGACTAGTTATTGAGTATTACCATTAACATACAGCGAAGTATCACTAGTTTTTGAGTATTACTATTAACATACAGCGAAGTATCAATAGTTATTGAGTATTACCTTTAACATACAGCGTAGTACCATTAGTTATTGAGTATTACCATAAACATACAGCAAAGTATGACTAGTTATTGAGTATTACCTTTAACATACAGCGTAGTACCATTAGTTATTGAGTATTACCATTAACATACAGCGAAGTATCACTAACTATTAAGTTTTACCATTAACATACAGCGGAGTACCACTAGTTATTGAGTATTACCATAAACATACAGCGGAGTATCACTAGTTATTGGATATTACCATTAACATACAGCAAAGTATCACTAGTTATTGAGTATTACCATTAACATACACAAAGTATCACTAGTTATTGAGTATTATCATTAACATACAGCGTAGTATCACTAGTTACTGAGTATTGTCACTAATATACAGCGAAGTATCAATAGTTATTGAGTATTACCATTAACATACTGCGGGGTACCACTAGTTATTGAGTATTATCATTAATATACACAAAGTATCACTAGTTATTGAGTATTGCCATTAACATACAGCTGAGTACCACTAGTTATTGAGTATTATCATTAATATACACAAAGTATCACTAGTTATTGAGTATTAACATACAGCGTAGTATCACTAGTTACTGAGTATTGCCAGTAATATACAGCGAAGTATCACTAGTTATTGAGTATTGTTATTAGCGTACAGCGAAGTATCACTAGTTATTGAGCATTACCAGTAACATACAGCGGAGTACCACTAGTTTTAGAGTATTACCATTAATATACAGCGAAGTATCACTAGTTATTGAGTATTACAATTAACATACAACGAAGTACCACTAGTTATTTAGTATTTTCGGAGTAACATTGCATACACAGCGGAAGAATCATGGTTAAGAAAAACTGTACATTTTTTTTATTTTAGATAGTTAATAAATATTAACTAATAAATCAATTTGAAAGTGGTATTGAGGTCGGAGAAAACAGACTTGTAAAGAAAAGTGTACTTTAGTTTAACATAGAATTAAACAACTACTGGAAGAATTCCAGGTTTTCCTGATTTCTAACGGTACCTTCTGGTTTTTACACAGATTTGCTTGCTTGAAAAATCATAATTTGATCTCTAGGTCAAAAGTCAAGTATCTGCCTTGATGCTATGACACAAGATATTTTATGGAGATACACATGCTTAATATCGTCATTCTATTGATAAAAAGCTCATGTCTGGTCTGGAAACACCTGCATGTAAAATCATAGACAAACATTCCAAATATCTCAAGTCTCTAATGACGATAGATATACTTGCCAAATATCTTTATTCGCTGTGACATACTTGCTAAGTATCGTATGTATCTGATGGCGATAGACATACTTACCAAATATATTAATTCTCTGAATACGATAGGCGGCAATAGACATACTTGCAAAATATCTCAAGTCTCTGATGGCGATAGACATACTTTTATATATCTCGAGTCTCTGATGTCGAGAGACATACATGCCAAATATCTCAAGAATCTGATGGCGATAGACATACTTGCCAAATATCTCAAGTCTCTGATGGCGATAGACATACTTGCAAAATATCTTAAGTCGAGGATGTCGATAGACATACTTGCCATATATCTTAAGCCTCTGATGGCGATAGACACAATTGCCAAATATCTCAAGCCTCTCATTACGATAGACATATTTGTCAAATTCTATGATTCTCAGATGGCGATAGACATACTAGCCAAATATTTCAAGTATCTGTAGAGTTGCTGACATACTTGCCAAATATCTCAAGCCTCTGATTGCGATAGACATACTTGCCAAATATCTCAAGCCTGTAATGGCGATAGACATACTTGCCAACTTTCCAAGTCTCTGATTCTCTGATGGCGATATACATACTTGCCATTTATCTAATCTTTAAAAAAAGTTGCAAAATTCAGGCTTATACACACATCTGTATTTTAAAAAGAACAATAACTTGACTTTGGTATCATGGAACAATGCAATATATTTCAGTCATAATGATACAGAATGATCATTTCGGATGATGCCATATAACTACCACAAGCCAATTATCAATAGTCCTCATCATAAGATAAAGATCCTAATCCTGACTATAACTGGGATTAATATTGATTCACTCATAGGGTTTTTGCATCGGAAATACACACATTTATTCTAAAACTTGTTGTGGCATGATACGGGTTATGTTCTTCTCGTAAAATTCATGATGGCATGATACTATACCCCTAACTGGGATTGTGCTTGACTTTCATATGATGAAGACATAATCTTTCGACCAGTATAATTGATGTCGGGAGCTAGCATGTCAGTAACTGCTAGTAGTCTTTTGTTAATTTATGTTGATCATTGTTATTCTGCTAAGTTTCTTCTATTCCAACATCTGACTCGGACTTCTCTTCAGCTGAGTTTCACTGTGCGTATTGCTGTGTGTTTGTTTATTCCACATTGACTAGAGGTATAGGGGGAGGACTTGACACTCACAAAACATGTTTAACCCCGCTGCATGTATGCACCTGTCCCAAGTCAGGAACATCTAGCCTTTGTTAGTCTTGTGCACTTTTAATTTTTATTCCTTTATATGTTTCGGAGTTTAGTGTGGCGTCCATTTTGATGGACTAGTATACATTATTGTTCAGGGACCAGCCCGCCTCCGGGTGCACAATTTTCTCGCTGCGTTGAAGGCCCATTTGTGGACTTGGACTGTGTTCTCCTCTTTGGTCGGGTTGTTACTTCTTTGACATATTCCCCGTTTCCATTCCTTATTCTATATATCAGTGGCGGATCCAAAAATTTTCATGAGGGGGGCCCACTGACTGCCTAAGAGGGGGCCCGCTCCAGTCATGTTTCAGTGATTCCCTAAATAATCAACCAAATTTTTCCTACAAAAGTCAATACATTTGACATTCTGCTAATAGTATATGAGAAACGGATCTAATCACAAAAAATTAACGTTGATCACTGATCCATGAAATTGGATAAAAGACAGGTGAACCCTCTCTGATGGACATGTATACATGTACCTAACTATAATTCTATATACTAAATATATAAAGTTGTCCTTTTACTTATATCAGTAACTTCATCAACTACATTTTTTGTTATCAGTAATTGAACCATAAAAATGAGGTCAAGGACAATGGATACATCATGTACATGCCAAGTGGAAACTTTGTAACGTAAGGCATATGTATACACGCTGCTAAATACCTAGGTATATTACAATCTGAAATATAAAGCTTCAATCAAAAAGCTAACGCCACCGCCGTCGGATAAGCATCCGTATATCTTACATTCTTCTACAATAAAATATCAGATATGAGGTATACACCAATTAGACAGCAACCATAGAAAAAAATGCTCCGCTTGGCGCTGCTTGATACGACCACAGAGGTCGAACCCTGAACAGTCGGGGCAAGTGTGAACACTACATTCAAGCTT